ATTGTTATAAAATCCGCGCGAGGGGGGGAGCCGAGAAGGGCCCAACTACCACCGCCGAGTCGGAACCCGTGGAGCACCTCAAAAATACTTAGGATTCGCGCGCCCGACGCAATAATCCCGCGCAAATGACGTTGCACCCGCGTCCCCGAGGCCACGATCCTTCGTAAATTGCGCCGTGCCCACTTCCCCGAAGCCATGACCTCCGTGAGCTACACCAGATTCGCGCCCCCGACGACACGATCTCGTGCAAATTACGCTGCATGTGCGCCTCTGGGGCCACTTTCCCCTGTACAGTACGCCACAGTTGCGCCACAGTTCGCTAATAGTCTCATCGCGTCTACCGTTGCCGACGTTGCCATGATACCGCGCCCGCCCAAGTCGCCGACTCGCACTGAAGTGCCCGCTGGGAAGTGCCCAGCGGTCAGCGCCACCGCGGCCGCGTCGGCAGCGCCAAACTATCGGGCCGCTGCGCGCGCGAGCATGCGGGGGCTAGCGCGGACTCAAAGATGCACTAGCCAACTCCGTGCACTCATCGCAATCGCCGCATGGGTTTTGCAAACTAAATTGTAAATTGCGGGTGACTGGGCGGGATGCTTGCGCGAGCAGTGGAGTGGACAACTCACCGCGAGCAGAAATTACTTCTCCGGAGGAGAAAAAAGATTTAGGATCTACCCCTCCAGGCTTAACGGTCCACCTTTTCGTATTGCTACATACATATGAAGTCTGCCCCATCGTCCATCCGAAATATGAATTCGCACCACCCAAGCCAGGCCCGAGTTCGCACCCCCCTCATCCTGTGCCCAAAAATATGCGCGCACATTCGATTGGCAAAAATCAGCAGCTTCCAAGAATCCCTTGCAACAAATTGGACGAAGTGCACACGCGCGCGTCGACGCGCGCGCATGGCAGAACCTTTCAAGAAACAATAGGTTTCGTAAGGATTTCAAGATCGAGCGTCCCGAAACAAATTTTTGGTTGAAAAACGGCTTCGCAACAAGAGTTTTCAAAATTAACCTGGCGAAGGGAATGCTGTGGTCGGTGGATCTTCTATTGGGGCCACGAAGCGCGTGAAGGGTGTGCCGAAATGTGGAGGGACCGTCATGCGGGCGCTGCCACAGGGGCCTTCGGTGGAGTTCCCTATGGTGCCACGAACCGTGTGAGGGGTATGCCGAAATCGAATGTGAGACCGCATTCGGGCGCTGCCACTGGAGTCTTCGGTGGAGCCCACTGTGGGGCCATGAAGCGTGTGAGAGTTGCACCGTAATGGGGGGGAAGCTGCATGCGGGCGCTGCCACTGGGGCCTTAGGCGGGGCTCCCTATGGTGCCACGCAATGCTTGAGGGGTGCAGTGAAATTGAAGGTGGAACCGCAGGCGGGCGCTGCCACTAGGGCCGGCGGTGGAGCGCCCTATGGGGCCACGAAACGTGCGAAGGGTGCACCCGTACAAGGGGGGGGAACCGCATGTGGGCGCAGCCGCTGGCGCCTTCGGTGGAGCTCCTTACGGGGCCACGAATCGTGTGACAAGTGTGCCGACACAAAGGGTGGACCTGCATACGGGCGCTGCCACTGGGGTGCTCGGTGGAGCCCCCTATGGGGTCACGAAACGTGTGAGTGGTGCACCGAAATGAGGATGGGACTGTATACCAGACGCTGCCACTGAGGCCTTCGGTGTTTTTCCTTGTGGGGCCACGAAGCGCGTGAGGTGTGGGGACTACATACGGGCGCTGCCACAAGGGCCTTCGGTGGGGGTCCCTATGGGGCCACGAAACGTGAGGGGTGTGGCAAATGGGCGCTCGGAGAACAGAGGCACGACGCTGAAGATGGCGATGTTGATGGCGCCGAGGATGGCGGTAGTCATTACCATGGAAATCACGATAATGATGGTGATGACGGCACGCGGAAAGGAGACGCAGAGGCAGGGATGGAAGGAGTGCGGAAGGGGGATGGTTAGGAACGCGGGAGGTGAAGTGAGGAACGCGTGGCGCTGTCTTGTCAAAACGAGGGCCCGACACCACGGGACGGTTGGGAAGAAGTCAGCGCCCGCGCGTTTGCGAATTCTGAGGGAAATGCGAAGTTTTCCATAGTGCAGAACGTGGTACCAAGCGGGCGCGCGCACGTACCGAAATCGTTCGGAAGCGTTTGCGCGCGTGCTGTGGCAAGAACCCGCTGCAAAACACCGTGGCGGAGGGCACACGCGCGCGTCGTCGCGCGCGCATGCCGAAATCGTTCACACACGTCTTAGATTGCGTACGGAATTCAAAAAAAATGTCCCGAACACATATCAAAACACACGGTCTTGCAGCATCAATTGCCGAAAATTCCTGCGCCCACGGTTTTGCGGACTCTTGGGTCTTGGAGAAACCGTGGGTTGTTGCTTCAGCTTGTTCACTAAATTCTGCCAAACGGGCCTCTCGCGCCGCATGTCGAACTAATTCGAACGCCTTTTGCGCGCACGCTGGGGGGGGGAGGGCGATCCGTGCCAAACAATACCACGCGGGCCACTCGCGCGCGTCGGCCGCGCGCGCATGTCACACTCCATCAACAAAACCTGAATCGCTGACGCGAGGACATCGTTATCGCTTATCGGCAAGCATGGTCACCATCAGCGCCGTCATTGGCCGTGCCGTCATCATCGCCACCACCGTCACCATCATCGCTACTTTCGTGATCGTGTCTACCGTTGTGAGCGTTGCCACGACACCGCGCCCGCCAAAGTCACCGACTCGCACTGAAGTGCCCGCTGGAATGTGCCCAGCAGTCAGCGCTGCCGCGGCCACGTCGGTCGCGCCAAACTGGCGTCCGCTGTGCGTGCGAACGTGCGCGGGCTAGCGCGGCCGCAGAGATGCACCAGCCAACGCCAAGCATTTCTCGCAATCGCCGCCGCATAGGCTTTGCACACCAAGTTGCGGGTGGGTGGGCGGGATGCTTGCATAGGCATGGAATGTGTCAACACATCTGTGAACATCAATTGCACCACGCAGATTGCACCACATGGGTTGGACGATCTGGACCGCACCACGTAGATTGCACCACCCAGCTTCTCCAATCTGCCACAGTAATGAGAACTGACCGCCCCACCGAACCCAGGATGATCGATCCCTTCTGAAGATTGGCAACTGACATATTATTGGCATACGAGTATGCCCCATCGCTCTTTCTAAATATGACCTCATACCATCCCAATCAGCCCGGTATCGACGCTCTCCTCTCGTCCTCGTCAAAAGCAAGCACTTTCGTTCATCACAAGTCATACATTTGCCCAAAACTCTTACACAAAACTTGACGAAGTGCACACGCGCGCGTCGTCGCGCGCCGAAGCCGAACGCCTAGTTAAACATTGTTGATCTCGGGTGGAATTAAAAATCGAATGCCCCCAACACGCGTTACATGAACACTGGGTTTCGCAACGTGAGTGTTCAAAAGAGTATGCCCGCGCTCTTGCAAATTAGTAAGTGAACCATCAAGTTTTCAACATGTCCACCCAAGTCGACAAAACGGGCCACTCGCGAACGCATGTCGGAATCGTTCGAACGCCCTTGCGCGCATGCTGGGGGGGCACGTCCCTTGTCAAATAGTTCCATCCGGGCCACCCGCACGCCTCGGCCGCGCACGCATGTGGAAATCCTTCCATAATGTGCATGGCCGACACGTGTTTCCATCATCGTAAATGGCGTGATCAGGATCGGCGCCTTTATTGGCTTCGCCGTCGTCATCGCCATCGCCATCACCAACAAAGCTACTATCATCATCGCGTGTGCTGTTGCCGGCGTCGCAATGGCACCGCGCCCGACACAGCCACCGATTCGCACTGAAGCGCCTGCGCACCAGCGCAACCTGCGAAACGCGCTGAGAAGTGCCCAGCGGTCAGCGCCACCGCGGCCGCGTCGGTCGGGCCAGACTAGCTGGCCGCTCTGCGCGCAAGCACGCGCGCGCTAGCGCTGCCGCAGCGATGCTTCAGCTAGCGCCAAGCAGTTATTGCAATCGCCGCCGCATGAGCTTTGCAAAACAAATTGCGGGTGGGTGTGTGGGCTGATTGCGCGAGCAGTGGTGTTGACAACTTTAAGCTCAACAGGGTGAACTGTGCCACATACCTTGCGCCGCATATGCTGCACCACGTAAATTGCAGCACGTAGATGGAATACAATAATTTGCACAACATCTATATTACACCACCTAGATAGGACCACACACATTGCTCCACATATAGTGCTCCACGCTGATTGCGCCACATAGATTGCACCACACATATTGCAAGAAACACACTGTTTGGGGCCCACGCTGGCTCACACACTCGCAAACGATAGCGCTAGCTAAAAAGAAGGAGGGGAGAAACCAAAACAGAACAAGAAGAAGAGAGAGAGAGAGAGAGAAAGCGAGAGAGAGAGAGAACACATATAATGCATTCATACTTACATATGCACACAAGAACCAAGATATGGGCGGTCGTCCTCTTCCTCTTCGTGCCTCGGCGTTGGTATTTCTCGTGGTCATCGATTGTCCAACATCGTCGTCAGCAGTCGTTGTCGATAGTCTAGTGCTCGTCGCCGTCGCTAGACGTAGTCGGCGGTAGTCCTCGTCGACGGTCATCGACGTCGATCCCCAACAGCGATGTCGTCAAATGTCCTCGTCGTCGATAGACGTCGTCGGTAGCAGTCGCCGTGTTGCCGAAAGTCCTCATAGAGACTTCCCGTCGTCGTTGACAGTCGTCGTCGTCGTTGATAACCATTGTGGGTCGTCGGCGTCGTCGCGTTGTCGTCGCCGTCGTCGTCGTTGTCGTCGTCATCATCGTCGTCATCATCGTCGTCGTCGCCGTCGTCGTCGTCGCCGTCGTCGCCGATTGACCGCGTCATCGAACGTCGTGGTTGTAGTCGTCGTCGTCGTCGTCGCCGTCGCCGTTGTCGTCGCCGTCGTCGTCGGCAGTAGTCGCAGCCGTCGTCGATCGTCGGCGCCCGCCAGAGGGGCCCGGCGCGAGCCGCGCGCGCTCTGATGCGGCCGCGTGGCCTCGGAGCCGAGGGAGGCCAGGAGGTCAGCCACGAACTGCTTGGGCCTCGACGTCATCTTGCTCTCGGCCGCCTCCACACGGCCACCGCCGTCGTGATCCTCCTCCTCCTCCTCCTCCTCCTCCTCCTCGAGGCCTCTGGAAGTCGTTCGCCCCTTGGGCTTCAGAGGGGGCTCCCCGTCCCACTGCACCTGGATTCCAAATTTCTTTCGTTGCTAGAGATAGGTCGGGCATGTCCTCCTACAGGCGGAATCTGGAAGAATGATGAAAAATAGTCAAACAATATTTCAAAATAGTCAAAAATAGACGAACAATCGTCGCCTGACTATTTTGTTGACTGGTTTGGGAAGATTCCTCCTGTCGAGGGGCATGCCCGACTTAATGCTAGGGCGCACCCCGGGGCCGGTCCAGGGGATCGGCTCTTGGCTCCCGAACCCGGGCCTCGAAGCGTCGCGAAGGAGGTCGAGGCTGCCTCTGTCTCGCTGCTGTTGGACCTCTGGAGGCCATCAACAGCAAACAATGGAGCACCAACCCCAGTGAAGGGGTCGGCAGCCTCGTGGGCCGACGCCGCAAACGACATCGTGACGTCGAGAGGAGACAGGTCCCGCAGCCGTCGAAGGACAGGTGCGAAGACATGCTTGCAAGGGTACAGTTGGGGGTTGGAATGAAGCTTGCGGGATCGCTTTGCGCATTAACAGAATCTGGTTTTTTCGAGCGTTTGGCACCAACGAGATGTAACCTACGATCGACATAGTAACGGCTTACGCCGCGGGGATATCATCGATAGACCATGTGCCTGCGACTGTTGGGTTGTCCCTATTTCGACCAAGATATGCCCCATTGAAGTAAGAGTTGCCCATCTTGGGGTTCGAGATGGCCTAGAGATAATGTACATATCATTCAATAGGTCCTGACCCGAAGTCATTGAGTCGAGTCTTGAAGTCGGCTACGGCCTCGAGGACGTCGGAGGCGCCTTGTCCCAGTTGGCTCCCCGAGGACCCCTGTGTTAAAAACGATATGTGAACAAAACGCCCTCGCACAACAACAAAAAACAAAGACGGTGCTCCGGAATGGGGGTGCCCAGAACAACTCAACAGGGAGAACACTGGGTGAGCATAGGATGAGCATGACTAGTCCACACCGTCCCCGAGAAAACATTGGGAATATATCAACTGTTCCCTACCATCCTGTGGTGTTGGGTACTCGTTTTGAAAGGACAGCGCCCCGCATCCCTCTCCTATCCTCTATTCCTCCTCCCCCATCCTCCCTCTTCCCCTTCATTGCATCTGCCCTCCTCGTCGCCATCATCATCATCATCATCATCATCATCATCATCATCATCATCATCATCATCAGCATCATCATCATCATCATCACCACCACCACCACCATCAGTATCGCCATCATCATCCGAATCATCATAAGACATCAGCATCAGCATCAGCATCAATATCATCATCAGCACCGTCAGCATAAGCACCATCATCAAAATCATCGTCATCAGAATCGTGATAATCACCACTATCATCACCATCAGCAGCAGCATCATGGTCAACACCAGCATCGCAACAACAATCAGCAGCATACTGATCATCATGATCATGATCATCACCAGCATCATCACACTATAATCAGCACCATGATCATTAGCATCATCATCATTTTTGCCCTCGTCATCATAATCATCATCACAACCATCATCACCACCATCAGCATCGTCATCATCGTGATCAACTGCATCATCAAACTCATCATTCTTATCGGCATCGTCATTATCAGCGTCGCAATCATCATCATCAGCAGCAGCAAGATCATCATCAGCATCATCATCATCACCACCACCAACAACATCATCATGGCGGGTATTGCCCCGCACCTGAGCTACCTACCCGACGGTTGCTGCGTTGCTGTTGCTGCTGTAGTCGGATCCGTTGCACCAGTTGTATCTGCAGGTGCGACGCCGACGCCGCGTCACCGTGGAAGTGGCGGATGTAGGCGGCGAGGTACGCCCCGCGGTCAGCGCACGGTAGTCTGCTGAAGGCCCCGCGCTCGAGGGCCCTGGTCAAATTTGCGTTTTCCCGCGCCGGGATACAGATGTCGTAGGCTTCACGTTGACGTTTGCACTCGAGAGGCGCATCTTGGTTGCTCGTGGCTCTGGGCAGCGGGGCGTAGGTGGGATGCCGCGTGCCTTCCATCACCCGTGAGATACTCTGGCCCACCAAACTTTGGAAAGCCCCCGGTTCCCCGTCCAACGGTGACCACATGTCGGCCGTGCCGTGAATGCGGTCGAGGATGCCCTGGCACTGGCGGTTCCCCTGTCTCTGTCTCATGCACTTCTGGCGTGTGCATAGCCCTTGCGCTTTACATGTCTGCATGAAGCCTCCCCCGTCGTCAGGATTCTCGATTGGGTCGTCGGCTGTGCCAGCGGCCGGGCCAGGGCCTTGGATACAATCGACCCTTCCCGCTTGGTCAGCGACGCGGGCGAAAGGACTGGCGCCCCTCGGTCCCGCTGCCGCCGCATCCTTCGCCAGAGGGCGGTCGGCCCGGGGGCGGTCGGGACAGGTGCCCCTCGGCGCCCATGTCATCGCGCCGTTCGGAAGCGTCGTCGGCGAGTTGGGTGAAGGGCGGCCAATGTGCGCCTCGTTCGTGGAGGCACGCAGGGCTTGAACGACGTTCATGCTGCGTCGCTCGGCTGGTGCGGTGCTGACCAGGGGCCCAACGTTCTTGGCGTGGGGCATCTGTCGCTCCTTTAGCTGGTGGGCGTCCCATGCCGCGGCGGCTGGTCCTTTAGGCTGGCTGCTGTTGACTGGTCTCGGTTGACTGCCGACGCTTCATGTAGCCTGGGTGGAGAAGCACCGTCCTGTGTGGCACTTGCTGTTGCGGATGATCATCTCGTCAGCCCGTGGTTTGGACGTAGCAGAAGTGGCAGCTTGGCGCTGCGCGTCGCCTGTGCTGGCGACAGAAATAGCATTGCTCCTCCCCCTGGTCTGCTCGCAGGCAAGGTCGCTTGGGGGGGTCGTCGGGCATCGAAGCTGGAGACCCTGCCCCGAGATCACTTAGAAGAAGACTGAAAACAGAGATCTTGGCGTGGGGCGAAGACTCACGCAAGGCCGAGGCACATGATGACGCCCACTCGCAAGCAGCACCCGCGCGCGCGGCGTGCTGGGCAGGCGCCGCTGAGC